TGTGAGTTTGAAGAACAAATTACATTGTTATGCTTGTCCGTTAAAAGTGATGTCGCTTCACATCACACTACGTTACTCAGACAAAGTGGAACAGTAAGAAATGAGGGTAAATAGCAGTACAGTACAGTGCAGTGCAGTGTAGTGTGGTTTGGTGTGGTGTTGTGAAACTCACCTTCTCATTCGACAACGAAGTTCACTCAGCCGGTCACCGAAATCGTCTGTGCTCGTTCTCTCTTGAGACCAGAGTTGTTCAGCTATTGCAGCAGCTTGAGGCCTGTGTTGGAGAATGTATGAAAAGATATGAGATGAATTGTGAGATGTACGCATACACTATTGGTGATATATTCACCGGATTATAGGAGGTGGAGTTATGATGTATTGATGTCTCAGAGGAAATATATCTGATCTACCGACAGGCACCTTATGCATTGAAGTGTTTTGAAGTGTGCGTAAACATCTTGAACATCTTCCTGGATATCACTCGCTGTTCAAAGAGATAAATATTTTACCTCAACTTCATAGCTGTGTTTGTGGATGCAAGTCATTGTTGCATGCTCATTTGTCTTCTGATAATGTGCAAACTCAGCCCTCATCAATTCGACATGAATGCTTTTATGCGTAAAATGATGACTGTGGGTCGTCGGAAGCTTATGTTGTGTGAGTGAGGCAAGTATGTGATTGATTGCAGAGGCTCATGTTGTTCAGTGATGTCAATAACCTCCTTCTCATACTAATTCTCTCAACGAATTCGAAGACGATGTGTCCCACACACCTGTGGGCATATGAGTGATGATGATGAATCGAAAACGAGAAAACCATCATCACTTACCATGACACCAACATGAGATTTGAGTCATCCACGTAGTCACCTGGAATCACACCTTCTCCTCCAATGACCAGTGCCAGTTCCGTTGGACTTCCTGAAATATTCGATACACACAGAAATCAATTAACAGTGTAAATCTGATGAAATGAACTCATCTGATTATCGCATGTTAGTTAGTCTTCATGACTGTTGTGTGTTCTACACTAAAAGAACGGAGTGGATATCCATGTAGGAATTCGTCTCAGATGGAGAATCGTCATTCTGTTTCGGCCATCAGTTTTGGTTAGAAATGATGAATGAGAGTGTAGATGAGTGAGGGGACTGTCAGTCGATTGTAATGATGTCGCCTAATTTCGTTTACGGCTAATTAGTACACACAGCTCACATAGATTACTACTATCATTATGTGCGATTCTCAATGATGCATGGATATTCATTGTTTGATATACGTCAGTGAACTTGTCGGTTGTCTTACTGACATGTGCAACTGAGAAATGTCTATCTCTTTGTCGTGTTGTGTTGCTGTGTTATCTAATTTGGAGTAGTAGTTTGACAGTATTCTACAAGATGCACCGATCAGTGAACAGTGAACATTCTAATCGACCTAGTTCTCACTCAGCTGAGCTGAGCTGAATGAAACTGGATGATGAATTATACGAAGTGGATGGAATGTGTAGATGTAACATGTACAATGAGGACTGGATACTTGACACGCTTATGCAACTAATGACAACGATTCGACAAAGATTTCCCTGTGTGCATTGGTTAGCATTGATATCATTGGAAACGTCAAGTTTGAAAATACTCGGAGTTACCTTCGAAATCCAAGGGATCACACTCGTAGAACGCTCGCCAGTCGTCTCCGAGACTCACATCACTGAAATTCCAACACGACGATATGAGAACTTTGAATCCCGCTCTTGTGATCTCCTCAACACTCTTCTTCCATTCATCAGATTTGTATACTTGAAAAATGATGTCCTTGTCACTCTAAACAAAGAAAAGGCGAAGAATTCATCAGTCAGTTAGTCAGTCATTCAGCCAGTGACATATTCAGTGTGTTGATGAGGAGATAGGAGATTGAGTCAGTCACTAATCAGTAGATGAGTGGACATCACACTGCAATACACAACTTGAGTGAAACATGGAGCAGTGATTGACATTCTGATTGATTGATGGGGGTGTCAATTTGTGTTTGTGTGCGTTTGGGTTTTCTTGTGGAACACTGAAGAACATTCACTGGCATCCTGTCATGCAGTGGACGAGTATGTATTCCTTCTCCTGCAATGTAATACTAAGTCATTAGTAGTATTTTACAGTCACCTTTGTTTGTAAGTTATGTCTATCATATGGTTAGCGAAATATATGAGTAAGTTCAGTCTAATGAATACTTCTCATTTGGTGATTATCAATCAGCACTTGACTTTTCTCGAAACAACTCGGTTGAACAAATCATCATACTACATCGATCATTGTGTATTAGACCTGATTATTTTATTCTCTTGTGTGATTACACTCTACCCACGTGCATGCTTATCATGTGTTTTCATCAAGCGATTTGTCATTTTCTCGAGATTTGATTAGCGAGACTGTTGGGAGACGACATCTCCCTGTTTGAGCGTATTGACAGTTGATCGAGATGTATATATCTATGTAATGCTGCCACGACTAGTCACTCAACTGAGAATTCGAATACTCTGTGATGGAGTATCAGTGTAGATGACTAAGTGTGTAGGTGAGAATAGAGACACGACCACAGCTAACCGACTTATTCGCTGTTGTCATTATATTGCTGATATCGGTCAGAGTGAGAGAATTATTCCTGCTCATGACTCAACCGACTGAAGGAATGTATACAAGCTGAATATTATATAATCCCCTCTCAGTGTTGACTTACACGAAATCCATCCTGATATACATCCTGCCAAACAATCGGAACCACTGGAGATCCCAACGATGCGGCCCTGACAATTTCTACAAGTTGTGTCATGTAGTAGTTCATCAACTTTGTATAGTCATTGTTGAATCCTTGCTCCTGCATGAATTTTGTGATGTCAGGATTGGACTGCCTGTAAAACGAGAATGGAATGAGGAAGTAATTTTTTTGTGTTTCGATGGGATAGACGAATATGCAGATTTATGTGGAATGGAACCAGTGGAATCAAATCACACCACTTCACTTTGCTTGGCTTATGTGCTCACCTCGCTTGACCGCTTACTTTAGCGCATATTCGATTCGTAGAAACATGCCTACCCTCCAGTGTATATATACACCTATATACCATCACACTGAATTGCATATACAATGCATCTTTCTCATATTCACCTGATCACACTGCACACACTGCATCCATACTACATGCACTTGTATGGTGAGATTGTCATTGAGCACATTGTGAGAATCATGGGAGGAATGCATTAATTGAATCAATCAATCAACCAAGCGATGCAGGATAGTAATAACAATAGCGAGAACTCACCAGCATGTGAAATCCACATCATTTCCGCCTAAATGAACGTGGTTGTCAGCAGAAAACACATGGCGAATTTCGTGGTACAAGTTCTGAATGAAGGTGAGATTGGTTGGATTGACAGGACCGAGTATTTGATTTCCTTCGTCGTCTTGAGTATGACAAGGAGTGAGTATTTCGGGATAGCCATTTCCCCATGACCGTGTATGTGCTGTGAGATGATAGAGAGAGAGAGACAGGGAGAGATGACGTGTATGGAATGTGACTGAGTATTGGGATATTGGGATATACTGTGGTGTAATCTTGAGTGATGCGTTCTGTTATGTCTACTTATGAATAATGACGAATATGTGGTGTGCATAGTCAGTATATTGTTTGAGAGGCATTGCTTGATCTCACTGATGATGGGTGTCTGGTGTATATCACCTGTGTAGTGAATGTCTGCGACTCTCCCTACAGGTGATGACATTGAATCTGTCTGGAATCGTGATGATTTTCCTCACATTTCCACACATATTCCAACCAGTGTTTTGCGTTGATTTCTCAGAGGAACCGATCAGTGGTGAGTAGATTCAGTGTGAATAGTAGTTCTCAGGTTGGTGGTTATATTTCGGTAATCCAATTCAGTGACATTTTATGGAGTCGTCTGAATACAAATGAAAATTTGTCAAAATTGTTCGTACATACGAATCACCCTTCTGAATTTATTATATGATTGGCGTGTAGTTATTTTTTATGCTCCAGTGGAGCTATTAATGATCAGTTACATCAGACATCCAGCAGGTAGATGTAATACTCTTTTCTCAGCTGGAGGTCATTCTCAGCCAGACAAAAACAATTCAGCTTTGTTTGAGTACTGCTAATTCCTAGAGTCATTGATTCGATAATTCCAAATATGCTACAAATGATTCCCAACAATGGAAATATTCAAAGACCTTCAGATACGCCGAATGGTTGTCCGAATTCCGACCATCCTTGTCTTCCGTTTGCATAGTTCGTTCATTGTTTTAATACGGGTCCTGAAAACTTCAAAGTCTGTAAATCACTGGGGTGGGCGAAATCATCCATCACAGTAATGTCTACTTATTCACGATTGACGAATATCAGGGTGTTCACTACTCTGTGGCAACACAGAGACAATTTCAAACTAGTTGAATATCTCAATACATACAACTGTGAGAATATCATGCTCACCTGGTGTATCGAACTCCGGAATTATTCGGATTCCACGAAGACGCCCATACTCCAGTAGATCAACTATCTCATTATGCTGATACACATAGGCCTCAGGATGATATGCACCCTTCAGTTGTGGTGGTGTGATTCAAGTTAGAAAGGGAACAATTCATCAGTCTTACTCACCTTGTTTGACAGTTCAGGATACATGGAGGAGACGAATGGGAATGATTCAGTGTCTGTGATGTGCCAGTGTAGAACATTCATTTTCACCATGGCCATTGCATCCTAAAATGTGCAAGTGTGTGTGAGTGTGTTAGTGTTTCACGTCTCCCTGGAATGGAGGGAGGTGAATGATGACTTACAATGAACTTGTGCATTTCTCCAATGGTGAGGAAATGTTTCGATGTGTCTAGCATGAGTCCACGATGTGAGAATCGAGGTGAATCATCCAATGTAAATTTTCTTATGATTTTCTATCAGTTTGAAATTATGCAGATGAGCTTCTAAAATGATTTTGCCTCTTACTCCGCCAAATTCATCTCTGTATATATGCTGCAACACAGTTTCTAATCCGTGTAGTATACCCCATACTTCAGCAGATATCATAATTAAACTACTTCCCAGATACTCAATCGAATCTTTAAATGTATGTGTTAATATCAAATAGACGTGAGTACTTACAGGATTCATCTGTGGAATTCGATGGCCATAATACGCCTTCACTTTCATCACATCCTCCATTTATTCGAATGCTAAGTATTCTGAACTCACAGGAAACACTAGGTATTGATTTTGATTTTGGAAATTCTTCTTCACGAATTTTTTTAAAGAATTTTCTAATAGCCTCCTTCATTGTTATACATGCAGGATAGTATTCAAATATTTCAAAAGGTTCATTCACTGTACAGTAATCGTCTGCTAAAGTGTAATTCTTTGGTATAGGTATCAAAGTCAGAGAATGAGGAATTATCAAGGATATAAGAGTGAATAGGATGTATTGAGTCATGAATACAAAAACTGTAATAGATATTGTGAAATGTTATTTCGTTCATTTTCTTACTGAAACTTTTTAAAGTCAAATTTGTGTGTCTGTATACCTAAGCAATGCTGATTGGTTGAAAACAATAACATCAAGGTAAGAGAGGTGACATCTGTTGAAGAGACGCTTGGTGTCAATGTGCTCAGTTGACTTGATGGTGACTTTATTGGAAGAAACACAACTAGAGAATCGATTTATTTATTTATTCAGATAGTTGACAAACCATTATTATTCACGCCTCAATTTAAATTATGAATAAACGAATAGTGACGTATGTTTGTTTATTCAAGATCTGTTTAGTTTTCGTGAAGATGGGTTTCATGAATATCACTCATATGTGAAGAATGTTAAATTTGATGCAAAGTCAAACTTTTCATGAAGTTTTAAATGTGTGAGGTTGATGGTCGTCGAGTAGACCTGAAGTATTGACTGATTGTTGAGTCAGATTATTCAAATTAGTAATGAAGAAGATAAAATTAATTTAATAATTCCCTTTGTAGCATTGAGAACACAATATTCAGAGAAAAGACTCTTTTCAACGAATTTATTATCAAGCTGTACAATCTATATGTATATGGTTTTTAATAAGAAATTATATCCAGTGAGGGAATTAGGTGAAAGGTGTGAATACATGAAATAATAATAGTGCTATTATGAAATGCAATTAAAATATTTGTGATTATAATCATAGTTAAATGTCAAGTAGCAAAACAATCAGTGTCATATATAGAATAATACATAAGGTGTATAGATGTTGGAAAGGGGTGCATAATTATAGAATTCGCAAAAGAATATAAAATGTTACATAATATGGTGTGAAATTTGATAAGATACAATTCAATATTGTAAAAAATATAATAATTTTGGATTTAGAATGACAAGTGGGACAAGTGGAAATAATCCAGAGTGAGGATAGTAGTAATAATAATAATCGTAGTAATGAGGGAAAGCTACGTAAATTAACTAAATAAACAAAGAAAATAAGTGAATGTCTATCCCTCTACGGCCAAGGCAGAAGTAGGGATTGTACATACTTCTTTTGTACACAAAGGTCTGGCTTAAAGTTATGAATTGACAAGGCCTCCGCTGTCTTTAGAAGTTTATAACGAAGAAAACGCGGCAAGTTAGCATGGATTCGGTAGATGATCTTAAAATCATGGTCAGGGTTGGTAGAGTGACAGGAGTCGATCAGGTGTTCTAGAATAGAGCTTCGCACACACTTCCTTTCTGCCTTGGAAAACCATGCTGGTATATGTTCTCGTATCCGTGAGTGAAAAGCATCCTCTGGTTACTGCCAGTGGACCATGCGCCACAAGAGCCGGTGAACTGATAGATGCACATGGAGGCGGCCAGACGAGGGAGCTTATCTTTGACAGAGGTAGAGAACAACTTTCGGCTGGTGAACATCATTTGTAATTTTGCCGCGAAGAACGTCTTATTGACTTATTTAGAGAGACGATGTTTGAGCATATCTGAAGCCTGATCAAGTTTGAATTCCAAGTTCATGAATAAGGTCTTCTTTGAAACGGAGTCAGTGACCAGTTTAAACTGCTTATCTTCCATGTTGCTGTCAATGAATCGGTTAGGTTAACCGTTTTCTGAGAGCGTGGCTTTTAGGAAGTCAAGTTCTGAGTCAACACAATCAGAACTACAAATGTTTCTTATCCTAAAGCAGAGCGAATGAATTAGGTTCCTTTTCCCGGAGATAGGTACACAACCGTAAAAATTAGTTAGTTGTCCTCTCCATGTAGGTTTCTGGTGGATGGGCCTTTTGAGATATCCGTCATTACGTCTACTAAGGCACACATCAAGAAACGGAATACTAAGTACAGATTCCTTTTCTATGGTGAATTGTAAAGGAGGATGACAGTTGTTGAAAACAAACAAGACATCATCAATAATTATGTTATTATCGCAGATAACGGAAGTGTCGTCTACAGTTCAGTGAATAAAATTTCCCTTTTCGACGAAATCATATTCACAAGGCGTACGGTCTTATTTACATTCACAAAAAATGTATAGTAGTTCGTTGTTGAGTAATAGGAGGGTGACGTAATTGATATAATTATTCAGAAGAGGCTTCAAAAGGGAAAATGAAAGTTATAAATTACGTAATCCTCCAAGGCATAAAGGAAGAAAGGGTTAGAATTTTGATAAGGGGTTAAATTTTTTATTGAATGAGAAAAAAGGTAGCTGAGTTTTTATTTTGTATAAGGAGTCCGAGGTATACAGGGAATTTTTGTCCAGTCTCTTCTGCTACCATGGTCTTAACCTCTTCATTAATGGTTCCCTGTGATTTTTAATTATCAGTTTGCTTTTACTTTAGTAGTTAATTCACTATTATCACTCTCACAGGTTCTTTCTGTACACTCTCTCACGCTCTTTACACTTGTTGAATTGACACTCAAACACCTTTATTCTCACTCAATAACAATTTTGACCATATCAAATTTCTAAACCTTTCTTCCTTTGCGCCGCTGGGTATTACCTAATGTTTAATTTTACATATGAAGCCACTTCTGAATAATCATATGAATCACTTTTCCCCACCCCTATTACTCACTAACTGACTACTATATATTTAAAGCAATTAGTTCCCTTTTTATTAAGTTCTACAAAACAATAAGAAGACGTAGTTTATCTGAAACGTGTAATGTGCGTATTTGCGCAACACACTTTGGACATTCTGATTACACACGTACTCGTCATACACAGTTTTATGAAAGGCAAGAAGGCATGAATCATTACAGTACAGGTCAGATTGTGTATAGGTCAAGGTCACAAATAACGGGTAGGGAGATGACGCAATGGTGTAGGTAAGAAAGAAAAATCGAAGCAAAGAAAGGGTTGAAAATTTTATGAAGTAAATTGATCTTTGGTTCTAAACTGGATTACCAGGGCAGGTTTAAAGTAATAACAAATAACTTTTGGACACATAAGACAGGTTTAAGTCTTTTTATGGCCTAGGCTTCAACGAATTTAAGTATGTGACTCAACCGTGGTAGTACTGGTAGTACTAGACAGCTGTTTCACCCTGGTTCGGCAATCTTCATAAGTGTGAATCCACCGGAGTTCGAGCCCAGGACCTTTTGATTACAAAGCTAGCGAGCTCGTAGACCATTAAGCCACTGGGACCCGATCCAGTGGCCAGCACATGAATTCCAGCTTCTACTAATTCACGACATAGCACGACCACTAGTCAATGTCTTCGGCGAGCATTTGTCCTTATACCCGAGCTCCCACACCCTACTGGTTTAAGTTTCTTCAAGAGCGCGATGAAATAACAACCGAATGAAGACTTTCCTGAAACATTACAAATATATGTTTATAAGCCGTCGAATGTGAATTCAAGTTCTATGTTCTGAGAACATTTATAAATAGTAATGGTACAGAAGTCAATTTAGAAGGAGTTAAACAAGTAAACACTGAATGGGAAATTGACAGAAACAACGTCTCACTATCTCTGCATAGGTGGCATATTCATTATCGCATGCAGCCATTTGAGTCATCCATCATTCCATTCTATCTAACTGAAATTCTCAACAATTAACATGAAAATATCAATTTCATAAAGGAACACGAAGATTGAGATAAATTCAAATTTTTGGACATCACTTTGAATTAGGCGACAGAGCGTCCATTTTCAACAATGTCCATAACAGCCGTTTCACAAATGGGAAATTTAACATTCTGAATATTCGCTCTCAGTAAACAATACGCGACACATCCGAAGGAACAACTGATCGAAAAAGGCAAATGCGATGGCGTTTAGCTTAATCTTAATTTTAACGACATCTTAACATTCAGGTATAATAAACAAGTTCTGGTTAAGGCACTATATGTGAATACAGGACACAGTGCATATTTTTAGCTAATAAACTGCACAGAGATGTACTGTTGCTTTAGAAATGCTTCCAGAAGAACGGTTATCCACAAAACTTCATCAAGAAAAAAGACAGGAAAAAGTTTTACAAGCCGAATAAGAATACGGTAAACTAAAAACTGAATTTCATTCACCTTGATTTCAAAGGTGACAATATTTTGAGAACGATAAATAAAAGACTTAGGACAACATTGACAAGGATATATGTTGTACCGAAGCCACCCTCACTCACTCACTTCCTCCGTCCCTGAAACGTTCAAGAATCGCAATTGTCCGTCATATATTATGTTCGAATTCATTTGTCACTTAAACTGCATTGAAAGAGTAGTAAAGAAAAACCATTTCAAATTTTTCAAGCAGGTTCTGAAAGGTTTTCAATTAAAGGGATGGAATAACTTGGTTATCTCAATCTCTAAGTGCCTGATAGCCTTTATCTATCAACCATCTGAGCTTTAGTCATTGCATTTTATTGCCTCGTTTTGCAGTTATGAATGAGCAATCTAAGTAATTAACTTATATCTTAATTTGATTCATACGGTAACCACCAAAATCGAAACGCAATCTATCTTAATAACCGACGGGTAAATTCTATTTCTTTCTTTCTGTCTCTTCATTAGTATTATTTGTCTTTTCAACTGTAATATTTTAAATTTCCAACTTTCCTGTTATCTACCTCCACCTGATTTTATTTCTACACCTCATTACCACAGTTACTGACTTGACCAACGCTCAATTTCTAGTCATTTGTGTTGCGTCATCCAATTTATTTGCTCAGTTTTAGTTCTAATTTAAATGACACTATTCTCTACCCCCACCTCTACTTAGTTTCTACCTGTACACCGTGATGGCGAGCTACCTAGAATTGTGGTTACATTGCAAACACAACTGAGAGAATTAGGTCTGCACCAAAGAAAGGACTAGACACGTCACACTAGTTACTCGTGTCCAATCAAAATACCCACTACATTCCTGTGGGAGGGCAATCGCGATCCCGAATAGCTCAATAGTAACGTCTCTGACTGCAGCACAGGGTGACGCGGGTTCGAATGTCAGAAGGAGGGACATGAGTTCCTTCGAGGTGATTGTAGATATACCATGCTGACAAG